TATTTCTGAGAAATATTTAAACTGCATTAAAATAGACTATGAAAGCGAATCTATTCCACGCTTACAGAATTTCATCGTCTTATCTCTCATATGCAGTTTCTCTCTTCTTTACTTAGGAAAAAAATATTTATTGATATTTTTTGTTTCTTCACTGCTTTTTTAATTTTTTATAAGACCCATTCAGTTTTGTCTGTGAATTACCTCAAATCATAGTATAATTTTCTTCTGGTTTGTATTCCAACATCATTTTATACACACAAGAATCTCTTTGCTCTCTCTTGCTTCTTCTTTCTCTCCCTTCATCACTTCCTCCTTCTCTCACTCTCACTCTCTCTCTCTCTCTCTCTCTCACACACACACACACACACACAAACAAAATTATAGAAGATAAGATTTCTTTCTGAGAATTCTGTTCTTCTCTGTTCTCAGGCCTCTTTCAAGTGGCACATAGCTTATAATAATCATTGGTGAATCAGGATGAAAATAAGAGTAGACACTGAGGGCAGCGAGCAAGCATTGATGTTATTTGTACAGTTCATGGTACAGAGTGACAAGTTGGCCTCTCCCTCACCTTTCCTCACAACGCAGGCCTAGAGAACTCAACCACTGCACATTTCTCCTGTGTTGACTTTGTCTTTCCGTGTTTTGTTGAGGGATGGGAAAGGGCTGTCTTTCTTGGCAGAGAGAAGATAAACAATGCAGTTCTGGTTAGCTGTGGGAGATGGGAAGGGGATGCATACTCAACAGAACAATTTGGTCCGTAAGAAAAGGAAGCCAGAGTCTAGAGCTCTTCATCATCATCGTCCGTTCGTCCTCCGATATTTAGTGAAAAGACTGAGGGCAACGTCAGGGGAGGGGTGGGGGATGGGGTACAAAACTCATGTTATTGATGGCCTCCTGGTGACATAGTTTCCCTAGACTTGAAATAATCTGTACATGGAAATTGTTAAGCCATATGGAGAAGAGAAGAGCTTGAAAAGGAACAGATTTTGGTAGGATGGAGAAAAACATACAAACAGATGGAACCCAAGAAAGGTTTTTTATTTTCTTATTTTTATAGGAAAGATAATAGCCTAGATTGTAGGGTTTGAGGGTAGGCTCTGGACTCTGGGCTGCAGAGTGGTTTGTGGTGTGGCCCATTTTATAAATCAAACAGACACAGAGGGTTAAATGTTTGCCTCTTCCTTCATAAGGATGCTGTAAAGATTTAGGGGGGCAATTTATGGCTTCCAAAGAAGAATAAATTAAGAATTTAAATCTATTTGGAGGATTCCCTTGATAAGAAAAGCAGCTTAAGTTTGCTTTTGTGATTTGATGTCACTAGGACGCATGCCTGGCCTGTGAACACACTGGGCTTTATGAGGGGACTCAATGACCCTGAAATTATGTGCTCAGAAAGTGTAAAGAGTCTCATTTTAAAAACTATCAGTAAAGGCTGAGGATGAGAAAAAGCTTCACAGCTCTGGGGCAGCAAGGGAGACTGGTTTTAAAATCAAAATTTCTGTTATTGCTGTTTCAGCAGGGTTCCCTGCTTACTGGCATCTTATCTGTTTTAAAAGTTAAAAGGAGTTGTGGAAGCAGGTTGAGAGCAACCAAAGGTCTAAAATATTTGAACAGAAGAAAAAGGCAAGTGCAATGGTGTGGAGAGAGTAGGCAGATTCCACAGTCTGGTGACGTTTAAAACATTGGATTGAGCTGTTTTGCTGGAAAACATTGCATAAAAATATGTCCAAGCTCTAATCCTCTTTTAACAAATTGAGTTAGAACTTTCCTCTCCCCTTGATTTTCATGGTAGCCCTATTCTACACATTGGATCATCCTTTTCTTTGCCACTTGGAAATTCCTGTAATTAGTACTGAATGATTTTGTACTAGCATCAAATTTATAGAGTGGCTCTGGAGTAGTTAGACCATTTAGAACAAAAGGAATGGTCCCATTTTACCGTAACCATTTTCAATTTGGTGCATTTACTCAGTGCATTTTCAGACTTTGCCTGGACAGCACATAGTAGTGTTGTTTGGTCTTAAACACTCTTATTCAGGAGGCATATTGTCTGTATATGAAACTTTGAAAAACTGTTCTGGCAAATTTGATGAATCACATTTTTTCAAGACACGCAGTTTGCTTTTCATTTCTCATTTAATTTTTCCATTATGAATACATAGAAACTTTTATGATATTTTCTGGGCATATTTCCAGTAATCTGTTAATAACTTATTATTTATAGTGATGCTGAGAAGCAGGGAAGTTAACTGACTTGCCTGAGATCAAAACCAAGAAATAACCAGCCTTTCTTCTGTTGTTGAAGCGTGGTTCTGGCAAATTACTTTCTTGAGTACATACATAATGAATTTATCTGTAGTTGGTGTTTTTTAGGTAAAAATGCATATCAGTGAAGGATTATGAAGCGTAGATTACTCTACTTAATAGATTACTCTACTTAAAAGTGTAGAGATTTATAATTTACAAATTCCAAATCTCTTCAAATAATTAAAAGGAAATCATTCCATCTTTTTAACAAGTGATGTTCTTGCCTGGGGCCTTCTGTGACAACCTGTAGTGGCAGTGTGTGAACACTAGATGGCACACGTTCAATGTTACAACTAAAACACCAGTGCAGAACCAATAGCAGAAAACAAAGTCTATGGTGATGGGCACCATTCTTTCTTCTGTGTGGTCAGAAAACTTGAGAGACAAAGCATAACCTAACCATATCAAGGGTAATATGACTTGAAAAAATTCCATATAGAGCCTAATCCACTAACACTTGGATGCTAGTGTAAAATATACGATTTAGAACACACGACATTTTCATCTGGCTTAATCTCATGCTTTGAGCTCTGGCCAAAAAGATATGGAACCTAGGTCAGGCCCACTGATGCCCCATCCACGCTATAGTAGGTCGGCTTATGCAGATTTAAACCATCGAAACCTGTCACAAAAATATTCGTGGAATAAATTAGATTACTTTCATCATTCAAGATGAAGGTATCTTAATTTTTTTAATAACCCTCTTTTCATCTTAAATAATTTAACTGCTAAAATTTGCAGTGCACTAAGATGCGATATTATTTAGTCCAGCATGGCAGTGGTCGCTGCTTTCCTCAATAACAACTCTAAATCATTATGTACTCATTACCTAATAGGCATGAATGAAAAGACAGGCCCAAGTCTGACCCTGAGGCACTTCTAGGCCATGTGCAGAGGTCAGACATGTTACTTAAAACTAGCAACACAGGCAGGCTCTGTGTCTTTACTGCAGCCTGCTGGAAGAAAGTGTTTTTAAATTTTCCATGATACTTAGTGACTCTTTTTTTCTGGATCATATAGGCTTATTGTAGAAAATGTGCAACATACAGGTAGGTATATACAGAGGAAATAAAGTTTGCCCATAATTCCCTTGCCCCAGGAAAATCACTATTTGCATTTGTACGCCGAGCTTTTTGCATTTTTTCTAACGCAAAGGAATATGCCATTTTCAGCAGTTCTGGACAACTTATTTGCCTGATAATAGCAAATCGTTATTGATGAAATGCTTCTGGTCTTTTCCTTTACAGCCCGAAGCAGCCTGCCACCCTGCCATATTCAGAATGGTTGATGAAATGTTCAGGTAAGTGTTATGCTGTTTCTATTAATAATTGATTTTAAAATGCTCAATTTCTAAATATGAATTTAAAATTCTGTTGTAGTCTCTGGCTATATTGTGAGGAAATTAGATTGAGTCCATTTTACCCCTCTGAGCTTTTGGTAAAACTCTAGTGTCAGTGTATATTTAAAAGCCAATGCCTAAGAATTAAGATAACTTTCTTTTTTTAACCTTTTAAAGTTCTAATAATAATGATAGAAAGTAGAAGTAATTTAAAAATTAAATATTCATGTAGGATTTTGCTCAGCTCAAAATAAAGAGTAGCAGTGTACTTCGTTCACCACATGAGGGCTGACCAATCTTTTTAAAGGATTTTAAAGTTAAGGAAAACCAAGAAAAATAAATAAATAATGCCATATTAACAGAACTCTCCTGAAAAGCAAAATCAACTATGCAAGTCATCTTACAACATTTTTTTTTTTTTTTTTTTT